TAGACTGCCCCATCTTCCTTCCGAGGAGTGGCTGGTGGGTTTGAACCGCCAGCCTTCTGGTTAGCAGTCAAGTGCCTTAGCCACTGTGCTAAAGAATAACGTAGAATCTGCAAAACACCACATAACGTGGATGAACTTGGAGGACACTATGCTTAGTGAAATAAATCAATCACAGAATGACAAATATGCTAATAAGCGCATTATTGTAAAAAGTCAAGGGAAGATTTATTTATGGAAGGAAACTTTCTTTGTTGGTTACCAGAGGTAAGAGGGGAGGGGCGGGAACCCTGCAAAAATAAATTTTTAAAAAAGATACAAAAAAAAAAAAAGAAAAATACCTGTTCAAGTCCTCTGCTCATCTGAAAACATTAGTGACTTATGCTTGTTAAACCATCTGAGGAATTTATTTTTCAAATCTGGTTTCCAGCCCAAAGAATTAACAGACCCTCAAATTTATTTATTTTTTTAAAAAAAGAGCACATAAAAGCGGAACTTACCACTGATTTTTTCTCTTTTTCACTTTCTCTCTCTACAAAAGAAATCAATGTTTAAACTTAGATTTAAACAACTATTTCGTCCTAATTCGTTAAATCCCCATAACAAGTCATTTTTATCCTTGCTCTTTGGTCTAAAGATGTTTCCCGAGACATCTGGGACTGTCCACGGATGGGAAGAGGCAGACTGACCACTGCTATCTGCCTGTCTGGGCCCCCACTGTGCTCAGCTCTGGTCACTTCGTATCCTCCCCACTTTCTGCATATTATTATATATTCGTGATGCCTACAGAATGTGTCCATAAGTGTAGCCTCTACAAACAGCGCAGGGGGTAAAAGTGGACGGAGGGCATGGGCTTCGTGGCGAGCCAGGTTTCAGGCATCCTTGCCCACTCACCCACAGGCGGCTCTGAGGAGCCCCGGAGCAGCCTAAGGCCTAGGAACGCCACAACTTAACAGAATAGTCCCACCCATTTCTTAGCAGGAGCCAAGATCCCCACTCACTGAAGAGAAGGGAGGAGCCGGACCACCTGAAACTAAACTACCTATCACTGGTTCATACCAGCATCAGCTGGAATCGGTTAGATGCACCTCCTGGCTTCGGTTTTTCCCCAAAGCCAAAAGAAACCGAACAAAAACGGGTCGAGAGCTGGAGCCTGGCCTGCATTTTTCAGAGTAGTCCCGCCCGCGCGGAGAAGGTCTTCCTGCCTTTTAAAGCCCCCTCCCCAGCCCACACCCAGAGGCCGGGCAGAAGCCCACCCTCCCGACCCGCCGGTCCCCGCTTGCGTCACGGTACCCCTTAACCACCGCCCCTCCTCCCCGCAGCCAGGGGAGGAGTTGAGTTCGGGCGAGCCTAGGGGCGGGGAACGGGGAGCCGGCTGGAGAGGGCAAAAACGCGCGGACCAAATTGGGGACCCAAGAGAGGCGGAAAGAGACGAGTTACCCGCAAGTCCAGCTCGGCGCTGCGCGCCCCGCGGCCTGGGTCCCCTGGCGGGGCTCCCGGGGTTTCCCAGCCCCGCGCTGCGTAACGCCCGGGAGGCCCAGTCCCGCAGCGGCCGCAGCAGCATGGCTGGAGTGCGAATCTGGAGGGCCGCCTTCCCTTTCTGCGAGAATTGAAGCAAACGTGTCCCGGCGCAGGTCAGGCGCTGCGTGCCGCTGGGACCTTCGCGCAAGCTCTTAAAGAGACCCCGACGTATTTCACCCGCTCCAGGGCGAGGCCAGGAATTCAAGACAGGCTTTTAAGGAGATCTGGTGGTTTAGTGGTTATCAGCTGCTAAGAAAAACGTAGGCACTTCGAACCCACTAGCCCCTCGACAGGAGAGGGATGAAGACAGTCTACTTACAGCCCTGGAAACCCTATGGGGCAACTCTACTATGAGTCCCAGCCCCCCAACAATTCCGCAGATAGATAATGTCACACCCATTCTCTCAGCTGACACTGGGAGAGAACTCACTCAAAAAGATAAGAAGCAGTCATTACGTGGGGCCAAAATTCAAGCCCATCTGCCTTGCTTCACGGCCACACTCTTTCCTATGAACTTTGACATTTCCAGGGTCAGGACTCTAAATGTACTAGGTCCCCCACCAAACCCAACCCACCTCCATTGGGTTTCCAAGGCTGTAAATCTTTAATGAAGTAGATTGCTTCCTCTTCCTCCCACAGAGCAGCTGGTGGGTTTGAACTGCAGACCTTCTCTGGTTAGCAGCCAAATGCCTTACCCACTATGCCACCAGAGCTCCTTACTAGACCCGTGAGGAAGGCAGCTCTTTACAGTGTTGAAGAACAAAGATGTCACTTTGAAGACTAAGGTGCACCTAACCCGAGCCATGGCATTTTCAATCGCCTGATATGCATGTGAAACCTGGACAATGAATAAGGAAGACCCAAGAAGAGTTGCAAAGAATACTGAAAATACTACGGACTGCCAGAAGAACAAACAAATCTGTCCTGGAAGAACTGCACCCAGAATGCGCCTTGGAAGTGAGAATGGCCAGACTTCGTCTCACCTACTTTGGTCATGTTGTAAGAAGGGACCATTCACTGCAGAAGGATGTCATGCTTGGTAAAGTGGAAGGTCAATGAAATAGAGGAAGATCTTCAACGAGATGGATTGACACAGTGGATGTGACGATGGGCTCAGGCATAGCGAGGATTGTGAGGCTAGTGCAGGACCAGGCAGTGTTTTGCTCTGTTGTACAAAGGGTCACTATGAGTCGGAACTGACTTGACAGCACCTAACAACAACACAACAGGAGGGCACAATCAGTATTCCAACTGGAGACACAAATGGGGGAGGGGAGATGGGAGCCTATAACCCCATTCACAGTTGGGTAGCAAAATTCTAGATCGGACATGTGAGGTGGGTGGGATTTTATAATCCAACAGGCCTAGGCTCTGTCATCTAGGCTGTTGCCCTTTAGGAGTGGTGACTGTGTTTTCCGGTGCATAGATGAGTTGTTGCCCAGCTCTCCCAGGAACATAAATTGCAAGCAGTCACCTCTCAGACAGAAGGAAGCCATTAGCCTCCTGATTTGTTACCTGAAAGCTGCAGCCCTATCTTGTGCTTCTTAGGTATCTGCTACAGACCTAACACAGGTCAAGTACTCCCTCCATAAATAAAAGTCAGGATTAAGTTCCATATTTTGGTGGTTGGAGATACCTGTTAATGAGATTAGAATGGATGAAATGGATTGAAGTTGAAATGGGCAAGCTCCAGAGGTCTGACTGGACTGGGGTGATGGCCACAGTATTCAAGACAGAACTGAAATCAAAGGAGCAACAGACACTTCATACCCCTAAAAGGAAATGCTACAGCCATTCTAGGGAAAACAAGCACCAGTGGAAGGCAAAAATAAAAATTTAGAGAACAAACATTAATGCAGACTGCTTTCATTAACTCAGAATGTGAGCCCCTGGAGGCAAGGATAGGGTCTGAGACCCAGATCACTCCTTCAGAATCCATATATTCTACCCCATAATGTCTGTGCCAGGCCTTCGACTCATAGGGTTTCCCAGGCGGTATCCCTGTGGAAGTAGATTGCCCATTCTTCCTTCCGAGTGACTGGTGACATATACTAAACTCAAAAAACCAAGCTCACTGCCGTTGACTCTGATCCGACTCATAGCGACCCCTCCTTGAGTTTCCGAGGCAGCATCATTAGAAGTAGATTGCCCAACCTTCCTTCCGAGGAGTGGCTGATGGGTTTGAACCGTCAGCCTTCTGGTTAGCACTCAAGTGCCTTAGGCAGTAGGCTACCAAAGCTCCCCTGATAAATACTAGCTGGTGATAAATGCTACGAGGAAAGATTGATGGTAGCTACTCTAAAAAGGGTGGCCATGAGAATTCCTCTCTAAAATGGCATTCGAGATGCTCAGGGTGGGGGAAGGCAGGCTCCTCCCCTCCCTTCTGCCCCATGAGGAAGCGCTTCCAGACCAGAAAGCTCCTAGAGAGACCCTAGAGCAGTTGTTAGCACTGTTGTTGTTGTTGTTATGTGCCGTCCAGTCAGAAGTGACTCACAGCGACCCCTCCTTGGGTTTCCGAGGCAGTATCACTACGGAAGTAGATTGCCCCATCTTCCTTCCGAGGAGTGACTGGTGTTGTTAGCACTAGGCAGGGCGAAGCGGCGCTAAAAGTACCCGAGACCGGGATTTGAGCTGCGTGACTCCCCCCTAGATCCCCAGACAAGGGGACAAAACGGGGATGGGGGTGTCGGTGAGAGGGAGGGCGCGAACCGGGAGAAGGGGCGGAGCAAGAGCTGGCAGAGGGCGGCTCCCGTGGGGCGCCTGCGCACGAGGCCCTCGGGAAGCCTGGGAGAGAGGCGGCAGACACCGGGCCCCGAGGCGGTTATGCTCTGTGCGCGAGGCCTGGAGGAGCAGTCCTCTGAAGAAAAGGGCTGCAAGGGAAGTGGGGCTGCTGGGTCGGCCGGCGGTATGCAGAGTGCGCAGCCTCCGCGGCCGGATACCCCCCAAACCCAGGCGAAGGCGCCTTATCGCCCCTTCTGCTTAAGCGTGAAAGGCCAAGTGAAGATGATGCGGCTGGTGAGGGCCGAGCTGTGGGCGGGGGTGGGTGGGTGGTTGGGGGGGTGTTCAGATGAAGCCAAAAGTTCCGTTTTCTGCCTCTACCTTGTCTTTCCCAAACGCGGGCGGATTACCAAATAAACAACGTAAGCACGGGCTTAGTTGTGTTTATTTACTGATCTGTAGTGAACAGTTCACTAACTGTACTAACTTCAACACAGATTAGTAAGTAAGTACAAGTAAGCCCGTGCTTACCGGGTACGCAGTCCCTGTCAGGGGTTGTAAATTTGAAAAGAGGCTTTGATTCTCACAGATCCTGTGAGGTGGGGAAGGCGAAAGATACTTCTAGCCATATCTAGAAGCAGGAATCTTTGCTGTGGTGAAACTGTTCGCTACGGATTAGTTAAGTAAACACAAGTAAGCCCATGCTTACCTTGCTTATTGGGTAATCTGACACTATTCTCAAGACCTCCTCAGAAGCAAGACATTTTGCTGTGCACCAGGTGGAAGGAGAGAAATAAGACCTTAGTTCTCCCCTCAGAGAATTCATGGCCCACTCATAAACCAGAATCACCGGATGGACTGGAATTACCTACACTTGAACCCACAAACCAGGTACCCAGGTGACCAGTGAGGAAGAGCAGTTGCATCAGTCAGAAGCCAGCAAGACACTGTGTTGAGAGTCAAGTCAGCAGTTTGAGGTGACGGCCCTTCAGGTTGATACACTGCAAAGCAGGGATAATGATGTAGCTACCCGTTTCTGGGATGTCAGACCATACCAGGAACTCGCTCAGTTCCTAACATGGTGGTCTGAATTGTGGAGAACATGAATGAGCGTTTGGAAGAAGCTGATCTGATTAGAGAAGTGGCAACTCTCCTAGGAGAGAATTTTGAAAGAATTAAGAGAAAATTTAGAGAAAAGGGAAAAATAATTGTTTTAAATTGTGAAAAGCTGATATGTGGAAAAGGGAATGGAAATAGTTAAAAGTCACAGGGAAACAAATTTCCACTTAACATGAGGAAGAATTTTGTACTGAAAAAATTCCAAAAATTAAGTCACTTGGGAAGGTACATACCCAGACAGCAAGGTACCCAGGCACAAAAGAGCACTTGGTGAAGATTTTGTAAAGATTCAAACATCCGAAGATTGGGTAGAACAAATTACATGTAATATCCTTCCCTCCTCCCTAAGAGTTTGTAATTCTGATAAATAACTATATGTCAGAATGCATAAGAAAGTGCTGTAAAGTTCAAATGAGGGAGAGATTACCTTTGGTTGGGAGTAAATAGTCACAGAAATGGCTGGGAAGTCCGAAGTTTTATGCTAGGAACTGGAAGCTCTGGGACACTGGAAGAGGATCAAGGTTTTGTGAGATAGATTTCGTTTTTGACATTTTAGTTACTTTAGCAACATTTTGAGAATTTATGTTCAAGTTCTGGACTAGAAATTGTTACAACAAAGATGAACCAAGACAAAGTCCCCCAACTCATGGAGTTCTTCAGTTTAGTCAGGGAGACAGACACATGAGCAGATAGGGTAGAGAAGAGGCAACTAACCCAGGATGGGATAAGGAGAGGTGTCAGGAACTCCTCCCTAAAGGAACCTAGAACACAGTGTAAGAGAGACCAACCTGAGCAAAGGCACAGAGGCAAAAACAGTACAGTTTATGCAGCAAATTATAAGCAGTTGAGTATTGCCTTATTCATTCAGCAAATATTTTCTAAAGTGGTTTTAGAAGCACTGTTCCAGGCTTCTAAGAATTTAGGAGTGTTAAATGGTAAGTAGCTAGTATAATAATTTTGTTGAGAAGTGTTACAGGGAGGAGAAAACAGAACAGTGGTTTCTGCAGGGAGCAGGATAAAGGGAAGGTATGTGTGCGTGCGTGCATGTGCGCACATGTCTTAAGAGTTGTCAACTTACAAAAAAAATGTTGTCAACTTAAATATGTTTGTAGGATAAAGAGGAAAGAGCTGGTGCAGGAGGAAGTACAAGAAGGAAAAGGAAATACTTGGTGGGAAAATATCAAGAGAACAAAGGTGGGAAATGATGCTGTTAGGTGCATAAGTGGAGTAATTAATTAGACTTTGTTTTTTTAGGAAGAAAAGTTCTCACTGGCAGGGCATATTGAGCCTAAATGTCCTAGGTTACTATGAGTTGGAATTGACTTGATGGCAATGGGTTGGTTTAACTAGTACGACTGGGCAATCTACTTCTGTAATGATACTGCCTCGGCAACCCAAGAAGGGGTCACTATGAGTCGGGGCCGACTCAATGGCACGAAACAACAACAACAAGGTTAACTCTAAAGTACTCTATCCTTAATAGGAGTTATCAGAGAGGGACACTTAGTCGTCTAAAACACAAAAAGAACTCAGCATCCATCATCTTTTATATGTGTGTGCATATGGCAGAAATTCATTTATTTAGTTATTTTAGAAATTATCATTTTTACAGCTTAAAATTGTTTTCAGTAATAATTGAATAGTTTTTTTTTTCCCCTTATAGATACTCACTGTGACATCTATGATCTTTTTCATCCTGGCACAGGCCCCTGAACCATACATCGTTATCACTGGATTTGAAGTCACTATCATTTTCTTTTTCATAGTTTTATATTTATTCAGACTTGATCGATTACTGAAATGGTTGTTTTGGCCTTTGCTTGTAAGTATTCAGTTTTACAGTTAAAATTTAACTATTTTTTCCCTAATATAACAAGACATTTTAATAAACCCTTTTCTTTAGTTGTCGTGAACTTTTCTTTTTTTAATTTTTACTGTGATTTGGATAAAAGCTTACAGAGCAAATTCATTTTCTATACAGCAGTTCACATATACGTTGTCTCATAACATTGACTGTAGTTTCCCACAATGCAACAGCTCTCTTCCCATCTTCTTCCCATAGTTACTGCTTCCCTGTGTCCTTCCCTCCCATTCACTCCTGCCTCCTGAGCTGTCTCGCTCTGCATACACAGCCTTTCTAGTCTCCCATGATTGACCTCTCCAAGGAGTGTTATCTACCTAATGTAAATTTTCCGCTCATATGCCTGTCTTTTGTTTGCCTAGAGGCCCAGAAGTAGGTTTAATTCCAGACCTGAAGGGCAGCTAGGGGGCACAATTTCAAAGATTCCACCACGCTTTATCAGACGAGCAAACTTGGCCCCTTTTTTATTTTTATTTTTTTTAAATGATTTTGAGTTTTGTTCCACATTGTTCTCCAACTTTATCCAGGATCTCCTACATAGATTCCCCCTCCAAGTGGTTGACAATGGTAGCTGGGCACCATCTAGTTCTTTTGGTCTTGTAGTCATATAGACTGAGGATCACATGGTGTACCAGTTGCTTGGACTTCCTGTTTCCATGCATCTTTAGTTTTCTTCATTCTTCTTTGCTCTGGATGAGAAGAGACCCATCGTTGCATCTAGATGGCCGCTTGCAAGCTTTTAAGATCCCAGTCACTACTCACCGAAGTAGGATGTGGAACAATGTTTTTGTGTAGTATGTTATACCAGTTGTAGTCCTCATAAACTTTTAAGATGCTGTCTGATAGGCTCAGGAAGGAAGCACCCCACTGCTCATGTGCTCTCTGTAGATCCTGGGCACAGAAAACCTGGGCAGCCACAGAGTGTAAATTCGCCACTAAAATCAATCCATCAGTCGATGTGGCTAACCCTTCTGTTAGAAGGACTCACTTCAGTGTAGATCTTCTAAAGAAATTTAAATTTAGGATGATGTTGATAAAATTACAGATATTCTAAATCTTTACCTCTCTTTTAAGTGCATGTTGATAAGACCTTGAAACTGGGGAAAGGGATAGAGGCAGGTATACCAATATCTCTGCCTTCTGCCTTCCACATCTCAGATCACTAAATAGAAAATCAAATTAATTTGGTAGGGGACTAAATAAAGCACAATTTTGTTTTACTTAAAAATGTCTATAATCATTAATGCTAAGTCATTTTAACTTATCTTGAGGAACATTACTTAGTAGCATATAGTCTTCAGTCTGCCATACTCATAGAATTAAGAATGACTGCCCAGTGGAGTACCTAAATGGTTCTGTAAACTGTCAACACAGGCAGATTAAAGACATTGGTTAAAGTACATATAGCCCTTCAGCCTGGAGTGTATGTTGGTTCTAGGAAAACAAGTGACTTCACCTTTTAACAAGTCTCTTCTCCAGCACCCCTTCTCCATAGGTCTTCCTCCCAAGTCCTTCCACTGCCCAAACTCCCTTTGGCTGGACTGGTGGTGGCCATGTCTTCCTCTGTTATACTTGGGTCATCCTCTTGGATTTCAAAGTGCCAGCTATCCAAACTGCTAACTCCTATTAAGGATAGAGGACTTTAGAGTTGACCTAGAACCAATAAAACCAACCTATTGCCATTAAGTCAATTCCAACTCATAATAACCTAGGACATTTAGGCTCAATATCCCCTGCCAGTGAGAACTTATCTTCCTAAAAAAACAAACCAAAATCACTCTCATCAAATTGATTCCAACTCATAGTAACCCCCATTGGGTTTCCAAGGCTGTAACACTTTACAGAAGCAAACAGCCTCATATTTTTTCCACGGAGCTGGTGGATTCATTTACCAATATTTTGATTAGCAGGCAAATACCTTAACCACTATATCACAAGCACTCCTTTCTCTTTGTATATATCTAATTTTGCCCTGCCACCATTGAACCTCTTCCTACTTTCTTTTTTTTTTTTTTTCCTACTTTTACTGAATACCTATTTTTTTAAGTTACAAAAATGTTTAATCAAGTTTAATCATTCTGGGTTAAAAATAATATAAACCCTTCCAGCAATGTACCAAATGTGAGTGGCATTGAGGAAGAGGAAGACAGAGACAGGTACATGGGAGGTGCAGACAACAAAAATGAACCCTTTTACACACAGTACTGTGTTGTCAGTGAAGGCAAACACAAGTATACAGGTGGACAGATGAGTGGACAGGCTGAACTATTATGTACGTCTATGCAACAGGGAGTATACCCAAGACCATGTATAGAGTTGGCAAACAATGGTTCTACAAGTGTATTTGTATGATCTGTAAGAATTCCCAGGGGTATAGTAGAGCTGACAAGGGACAAGGTTGTAGTCACTTCTT